GTAGGCGAAAAGGCAAAGTCAATTAAATTCAGGTTTCGCAACTGTCCGCATCAAGTTCAGTCTCCATCCAAACTGCTCTTGTACACGCTGACAAAAAATAAAGAGGTTTAGGGGCGAGCACAAGGATAGGAGGCCTATGTGCCTTCAATTTTCAGCTTAATTTTATTCACAGAAGTGGAGAAAGAAACGAGAAATTTAGTGTCCCTTGAATGACAGCTGGTGAAGAGTCAAGACTACTTAAACGACGCTCAACCAAAATTTAACATGCCAATATAGATCGTTAACTAAACGAACAAGAGGTTCTACATTAGCAATGTATGAGAATTCGCGCCAGAAATACAAAAGACTATCCGGGTATGTCAGGAAAGACGCCGCAGAAATTAGACAAGCTGAGGGTCGTAGACGCGTCCTCTCAAACAGAATGTCAAACATTCGAGCAAATCTTTTGTGACAAAAATGCTTCACGACCACACAAATGTTGAAGGGGTTCAGAAGCTATTGATTTCCTAAGCAAGAGAAAAACTGTAACAGGGTGCATCACAAATTGTAAATAACAATTTTGATTGGTTAGCCCCAGATAGTGAACACTGCCACTTCAAAACTTGCAAAACAACCATATAAAAGAGAAAAATTCGCCAATTACAACCAGTTAAGTCTACGAAAGCCAGCCAAAGTGGTTTAACAAACACTCCACTCATTTTACGATTAAGGCCGAGACAGAAAAAAAGATTGAAGAAAAAGCAAGCAAACAACTCAAGGCAACACCAAGGCTTCCCGCAGTAAAACACTTTTTTGACCTACTTTCAAGGTCCATTTCATCCAAGGATGGATCAAGTGAGGCTCGTGGAGCAAGATTGTGCTCCAGACACTGTAGAAAGGTTATGACCTGATTGAACGAAGGAAACGATAGAGGTGGTAACTGGACCCCATCCTCACGCACGAAGATTACGGTGCCACCGTCGAGCCTCCGATCTGGAAAAAAATAAAATAAAAGGGGAAATTGGAACTTATTCACTAATGCACTACTCCCTTAGTAGTCAGTATTTTCTGATTGGTAGATGACTTATTTATCAAGACAGACTACGGTTAAATAGAAAAAAGACAGTGGAAAACGTTCGTTGTGGAACGCATTCAGATAACCTACTCTAATTTACCTCTAGATGCTATGCTTGTAACCGATGCAAATAAATCGGTATTCACTTTGTCATCGTTTTCGGAGCAAGCCGAAGTCTCGCCTGAACAACTAATCCTTAGCAGATTTGACGTTTTTCCTACATAGCAGAGTATATCGCGGCTTCATTAATAATACGTGCTTCTGTCACGGCTCGGGTCTCAAAAGCGTATCTTAATAAGCTAGCAAATGTGAAAACAAAGCTGACGATATAAACTTAGCTATGGGACCGATATATCGGACCAACTCAGCATCCAATGGAGTACCCGTGTTGATAACTCTTGCAGTAACAAATACTTTTAGCTCTGCTGCACTAGATATGACATCCCAGATTTGGTTCACGCAAACTAAAAAGACGATCGCACAAGCAGAGAATGGTACATTTCCGAGGAAATCCATCCCATTTAAAGTTGCTGATAATACTTTTGGGGTGTTAAGATTAATGAGGAGGAGGAGGAGGAGGAGGAGGAGACTTGACAGCGGCTCCCGTGAAACAGGCCCCCTTCGACAGAAACGATAAAATATTCAGGGGAGCAAGTGCCAAACTCCCTCCGTTAAGTACCCTTAATTTAATAACGTCCTTCTAGCGGTCTCAGTGATGCAATTCTCGGAAGACAGCTTGTTAGTTTCCCGAATAGTATGTAAGAACACAATTATGGGGGTTGGATCAACACGAAACTACTGCAAAAGCCAACCCTAGTTGATTGCTGCCCTATCCTCAGAACTCTCCACTGGCTGTCTACCTACATCTGATGTAGGGAGTCAAGAACGTAAAAATTAGGCCATCGGGGACGTTGTTTTATAAACAAACAAACGAAACTCGATTATATTGCTATCCCTGGGCGCACTTCACCGCGAACTGAGTT